CAAATATGTTTACATAACATATGTATATATATATGTGTTGTACATACATAATATGTGCTTAAATCTATTTTGTGAATATATTTTTCCGCATTTGTTGCATTTTATTGTACTTTGTATTTATATAAATTTGCGGTAACTTTTTATTAGTCAAACTTTTTTTTTTACAATAAATAGATTTATATATATTTAAAAGGGTATATAAAGGGTGTTTCTTTTAGAACATGAGGATTGCAATGAGGCATTACTTATTTCAGTGTAGGTCTATGTTACAGCAGTTATTAGATTTACACACAGTTTGGCTTACCATTACATAATGAACAGACTTACTAAGGCACAACGTTTGGAAATCGTGCAAATTTTATACCAAAATGATGGCAACCATGGATTGATTTCGCATCGCGTTTACTCTATCGGAAAATATGCGTATCTTCAGAGAGTGCGCACCGAAGACGCTGTTGCTGTTGTTGAGCACAGCATAGAAAAAGACCCGAAGAACCTCAACCGCCATCGAACGCAACAATTGGTGCCGTGTCCATTCACTTTATGGAAGATTTTGCGGAAGAACCATGCTTTGAGGACTTACAAAATCCAACTCGTGTAAGAATTGAAGCCGAGCGAGCATCAAGTGCCTTGTACGTCCATTGAATGGGCTCAAGACGAGATGACTAGCGATTCCGATTGTCAGAGAAAAATTTTGTTCAGCTTGAAGCTCACTTTCGGTTCAACTGGCATGTTAATAAACAAAATTTTAGCATTTGGGGTGGGGTGGGGTGGTGTGGTGTGCAAGCCATTGTTTAGATGCCCGTTACATTCTCAAAAAGACACTTTTTTTTTTGCTCACAGGGAGCCATTGGTACATATTTCTACAAAAAAAAAAAAAAAAAAAGAAGCCGGTCATAATGTTACAGTCTGTATTTAACGCTAGAGGAAATTCGGATATTGTGGTATAGGCGGGTAATGTGGTACGCCACTTTTTCTCGGAAACTATAAATGTGAAAATAAAGGTACTTTTTGAAATAGCTCGGCTTTCTCAGAATATTAATAAAGCGATATTTAACTTGTGATTTACAAGCGATCCCGATAACCAGCTGTAATAAAAAGGCTTATGCTGCTCGGGCAAAACGATTTCTATCAGAAAAATCGGGAACTTGACACAATATTCACTAATCGAGAGGTAGCAAGTAACTATTATATTAGTGAACAGTTAAGGGGCACACCTAGTGTGAAATTTCATATTTCGGTAGATTACAACTTTAAAATAACATTAAAATTTCAAATCGATATCTCAAATAGTTTTTGAGTTATACCAATTTAAAGAGCAGCCGTTCGGCAGCCAGAGAGTCTGATTAGCTACAAGACGTACCTGATCATTTTATCTTTAAACGCGTGTTTCTTGAAACAGTATTTTTTGAATTTGCTGCAGTGATTACTCAAAAACAAATGATCCGGTCATTATCGATTTTTTTTACATGTTCTATATATAGTTCTCCGTACAATGACGTATCGAGCAAAATTTTGAGTAAAATTCGACTATTGTTTTTAAAACGCCGTCAATTTTTGATATTATCAAAGAGAAAAAGGATTTGTTGAAATATTTGTTTCAGAGGAGAAAAAAAGTCACAGGGTGACATATCGGATCAATAACGCGGTTGTTGCAATACCGCGATCCCTTTAGAGGCCAAATACTGGGACACGCTGAGCGCAAGTGGCACGGCGCGCTGTCGTGATGAAGGATCCTGAGCGCACCCTGTTGACACATTTTCACAATCTTTCGAGTACTTGGCGATAGTAGACTTGATTTACGGTTTGCTCGGGTGGAAGAAATTCTTTGTGGACGATTCAATGGCTATCAAAAAAAGTCAATAATCATCGTTTTCGGAACGAGCACCACGAACTCACGTTTACTCAACACGACACAGTAGGCGAACTAAATATGCTAGAGCGATGGCAAATATATCAATGGAGAGGAGAAGGATGGCGGGAGAAGGGTTACCACAATCGCGGTAATATAGTCTGTCTCATTTCTTTATTGTCACACCTTGTATACCACATTACCCGCGCCAGTTTTTTCTGTGGTCTTTTGCTGGCTTTTGAAATATTTTTTAAAATCGCTAGGCTATTTAAAGCTAAACAGTAAAGACCACATGTATAAAATAACACCCTTTACATGAATGTATGGTAATTACATACTTTGCATCTATTGTGAATATAAGCAAGTAAATACCAATAGAGTACCGCAATTAAATTGTTTACTAATTGTGATAGTCAGGCAACATGTATTTATAAATAAACACGTATATATGTATGTATATGACATACTAATGTTAAATGTTAGTTATGGGCGCTGATTTAAACATAGCTTTTAATTTTAATTATCTGTAATAAGTCAACAGGGAAAATAGTTAATTAGCAATTTAATTAATGTGTTTTTCTTCTTATTACTGTAATATATTGTGCAAAATTAATGCGAAAAATGTTAATTAATTTTAAATAGATTTAATCAAGTTGCATATTATCTCACCAATAGGTAGCTAAAGCAAAACTTTGTTTATCAGTATGAGAGCATTTCTCCTGATGAATATTCTCAGGGGCTCTGCGGCTTATATTTAAATCACACTCCTCTCCACGAACTCACTGTATTCCGTTCACCATGAGCATTCCTCACAAAGTAGTGGCAGTAAATGGTGGTATTCCGAGCCGGCGAACATCAAGTTGCCTATAAAAAGTTTTTGGTTTTGAGTCGAGTGCTGCCGACAATCATATATTGTGCCTCACCTCTTCTCTTATTAGTGGGGTTAAAGTCGTGGAGGATGAAGTTTGCGATTGTTGTGGGGTTCATATTAGCAGCTTTATAGTGGCTGGACGTTTATCCAGTGGAAAAACTGACAATAATCGGCGACAGTATTTCTCTTCTATATTAAGTATGGCATGATTTTTAGATGGGTTGCCTCCATTCTTCGTCCGTTCATCGCAACTCTTAAAATCAAGCAAAAATACACTTTGCTGGTCAAAGAACCAGTCATTCCAGCAACATACTAATAAATCGTGGACCTTACAATTCACTTTCAATTGGTTCTTCTATGAGCACTCAGAAGATACTTGAAGAGAACTAGATTTCAAGTAGTAGTAGACTAGTTGTACAATAATCAATTCCCGGTTGAATGCCAATATAAAACCTTCCATTTATTCTTAGTTTTGTGAGCTTCCGAAGAATTGCTTCAATATCTGTTGATTGCTGGTGGGATGACCACTGGCTTCTTCACAGTATTTTTCAATACGATCGCCATTTGGTAGTTAGGTTGGATCAGGACTCGAACTTCTGGCGGTACGAAATGCTAACCATATACTAGCATCCAATTAATATATGCAATTTTCATAATCATCAAGTTGGCGCAAAGCTTATCGCAAATTATTAAAATTCATCATAAAAATGGTGAGAACCTGTTAGAGACGGTTCGTAAAACTAAAACCTTTTTCGAACTTATCGAACCGCAATACAGAAATTGGTCCATAAAATAGAGCTGGTGGAAAAAGTTAGTAACGTGAAGAATAACACACGAGCTCGGGCTCAAAAACCACTGAGAGCTCAAGCACTGAAAGCTCAAGCCGGCCGATCATTACCAACTTCGGGTCTTTACTAAGTGGTTCCTTGAAGAGAAAGAAATTGATTCCGAATTTCATCGAAAACCACTAATGACTGATGAGGCCGATTACCACAACGATAGCAATATATATAGATATAGGGCTGAAAAGCCTCTACATCCTCAACGTTATCGACCTTACTTCTTCGAAAATTAAGGGATTTCGCTTTCGAGAGATGGTTAATATTATAATTTGTATGGCCGGAGTTGAATGATTTTAAAGTGAACAACGATTACTTGAAACAAGACTGTATTACGTGCCACACGAGATCTTTTAGAGGAAAAGTTTCCGGACCACGGCCACGGTGAGCTTGTGATTTGGGGCCAAGTGAAAGATAAGGTATTCACCTACAGGCCAACGTCGGTTCACAACCTCAAAGATGGAATTCGTGAAATTATTGAGAGATTGCGATTTGGTGATGGCAAATTTTATAAAAAGGCTACGGTCCTGTAAGCGTAGCCGGGGCGACCATTTGGTTCATATTGTTTACCATTATTAATGGCATATCTTCCTCTTTACATTGAAATAAACATTCAATGATTTACCTGAAAGAAAACTGCGTATAAGTATAGTATTTCTTGGGTTGGTATCAAAGCCAATTCTGCTTACAAAGTTGGAGCTGTCCATATAATTTCAAACTTTAGGGCTAAATAATTTCTTGCAATCATTGCTACTCTGCAGGGGGAAAAACTGGGGTTGTCTAAAAGTTCACCCATAATTTTGAGGACCCGTCTTTCAGAGCTGGTTGTTAATGCTGTAATCAGTGAAGATCGGTAGGTACCTAGCATCATTGTACATAACTATAACTAGAGAGGATCATACTCGTACGAAAGTAAAGAAAGATTTTTATAAAAAACTAGAAGAAGAGTCAAATATACATACATACATATGACTTAAAAACCAATGTACTAAATTTTACAAAATGTGGTTAATACACAAAATTTTAATTGGATTATTTGTTCTCCGCGTACAGGAGAAACTCTGTAGATATGAAAAACTCCAACTTAGATCCGCAACATTCCTCTGACAACAACATGTTTTCACGCAATAGTTGCAATCACGAGACCATGAAATAAATAGAAAAAAGGGTAGAATTGTAAACAAAAAGTGAAGGTTGTATTACATGCCACAGTTCTGGCTTTTGTTTTTGTACATGCCTCTTGCTAAATACAAGAAAGAGGCTTGCTGACAATTAATGCTCTAATAATGCACACGGGCAGAGACAACGCAAGAAAGGTGGAGAGAGTTGGAAATCTCTAACTAAGAATTTTGCAGAAGTGAAGCTTCACTCGATGCGTCGAGACAATCAGTGTGGACTGTAGCTTTCGATCGGACGCGTCTTTTGTATGCGTTGAACTATGCAACTGCAATTACTGCTTGCCTCCTGGAGTATTTGTGCCATATTTGTGGGTGTGATGGCTACATATCTTAGTGATTTCGTGACATTGCGACGTCAAAGCAATTGGTCTTCAGAGGAAATCGCACCCGATCGCAATAGTTCCAAAGTGTTAAGTGATGACAGAAGACAGTGGCATTCCGATATAGCTGATCACTACCAATTGCGTTTTAAGCCCCTTCGTCAAATGCCACGTTTATACTGGCCAAAATTAACGCAGGAAGAAGTATCGACCGAACTTATAACAACGGATGTAGTGGCTACCGTATCCAATACGGAGCTACCAGCAGAGGATTATAAAGAAATTGCACCAGTTACTACCACCGCTGCGCAGCCCATCCTCAATACAACAATAACAACAACAGCTACAGCAACAGCGACAACAACTGTGGTGTCATTGCCCACAGTTAGTACTGCATTGGCCTCCAATGTCATGAACTCAATCATGCGACCACCACAAATTAGTGATGCCATGCAAAATTTGCTATTCCACGGCTCGCCGTTCAGCTTCAAACTGTTGCAACAACAAAAGCAAGATGGTAAAAAATCAAAAAGCAAAGGTTTTCTAAGCCTCTTCGAGGTAATCAAATTTAAAAACACTAAATGTTCAGTGGCTATGGAAGAGATCGATATACGTGTGCGCGCCTTGGAGGGCGTTTGCTATCATGAATTTGAGTGCAAAAGCTTAGGTGGCATACCGACCGAGCCCTGTGCTGATGGTGTGGGCGTATGTTGTGTGTGTGAGTGTGTAGTTTCAGTAAAAAGTAAAAATTCTGCTCCTAAAATTCATTTAATTATATGTTTTTTTTTTGTTTGTTTGTTTTTGCTTAAAATCAAGTTTTAACCGGTTGTGGCGCTACGACAAAGCAATCAGTAGTCTACTTTGAGAGTCCCAACTATCCGAATCCGGTGCATGATATGCTGATATGTGTGCTGATTATAAATTTACGCGATAATGTGCAGCAGCTGCGACTCGATTTCATAATGTTTGAGGTGAGCGAAATGGAAATCTTCTTTATGCAAGATGAAAATCGTTCTCTTCCTATCCTCAGATAAATCGACCTACAGATGGTGACTGCGTGGATGACCAATTTGTTGTTTCCGGTCAAAATATAAATTTTGTTGTACCAATTCTATGTGGCATTAATACTGGACAACATAGTAAGTATGCCTTATGGACCAAGAATACATATAAATAATAAGGTAAGGCATTCCAGTCGTAAAAAAGTTTACGCGACAGTCGGGTCTTTATACAGGATCGACCCGGATTTCTACCCGGTCAAGGCCTACTTTGCGGCTGTAACAACAACACCTTCTTCATTTTCTGCTATAATTTTCTATTTACCTCCCAAAAGACTTAATTTATCTAATTATTGATAGAATAAAATTTAATTTTTTTTGAATTATTTTTTTTCAGTCTACGTTGATGTGAGCAATTCTTTTGAGAGAAAAATTTACATCTCCTTTATAACTAAAATGGCTGTTGGTCAACGCACATTTAATATTAAAATAATACAGGTAGTTGCTTGAACAGATCTCCATAATACAGGGTTTTCCAATAAGAGCTGTTATTTTTAAATTCATAGAAAACTTTTGAACTTTTTTGAGATAAATAATCCGATGTTTAATTCAATGTACTGAGAAAGATATGCCATAATGGAACTTAATATCAGCCAAATTGCTGCCTGGCAACGCCTTTTCCTGTTTATAAATTTTAATTTTATTTTCATTCACAAGATTTCGGTGGCCTCGAGAGATAACATGTACATTTCCCTTAAAAGATCGGTGGTTTGTGTGGCATGTAGCGCTGCCTTGTGGAAAGTATACGTTGTTCAGTTCAATACCATCTAATTCCGTTCATAAAACCTCCCTCCACAGCGAAATCTATTCACCATAAAAGCTGCTCCAGTCTCATTTTCTAAAACGTAAGCTCCACTAAGTCCGCCGGACCATAAAATGCACCAAACAGTTACACACTGAGGATGGAGAGGCTTTTCAACAATAAATCTAGGGTTTCCTGAGCCCGAGATGCGACAGTTTTGCTTTATTGAAGTAGCCATCGAGGTGGAAATGGGACTCATCAGTCAAGATGACCTTTCGAAGAAGTTCCGGATCATTTTCATGCATTTCGAGATCCCAATCACCCATGACACGACGTTGTTAATGAGCGGCAGGTTTGAGTTCTTGAGTTAATTGAACTTTATAAGCCTTAAGGACAAAGCCTCTATGCAAATTATGGCATAGTGACGTTTTTGTAGTGTACAAATTCCAATAAACGACGAGGATTGGTCAAACCTTTGCTCTATAACAGCAATATTCTGAGTTTGGTTTTGAGTTGCACAGTAAAGTGCTTTACGACGACCGAAAAACGTTTTAGTTTTACGAATCGTTTAAGTCTGATTTTCACCATTTTTATGTTGAATTTAAATAATTGCAATGCGTATGTCGTTCCACTTTTATTACTGACGTAGTTTTTACTTATCAAACGTCAAAAAATTACAGTTTCAAAAATGACATGCAACCAGCTGTTTCAAAACAACACCTCTCATTGGAGAACCCTTTCTGTGTATCCCATTATGTTTATTTTGTGTCTTACTAAATTTTTTTATTATTAGCCTTGTTCTTCAACAGCAAAAATAATAATCTTTTCTATTATTCTGTTTTATTTCCAGCTTGAAAGCGATTTGGCTCCAGAGGGTTGTTTGCAATTTTACACCGAAATTGAAGGCGTCGTGAAGTCATTCAATTATGACACCGATGGCGCTTTTGTTAACAACGCAGGTGCAACATATTTTGTAAGTTTTTCCAAATTAAAATCTGAATAATTACTTTGATGAGTTTTTTCAATACCAGAATAATCTGAATTATGCAATTTGTCTGCAACGCTCGAAGGATATGTGTGCCGTGACTTATACAGCCGTTCAAAATGGTGGAGAACAGTTGGACTTTCAGATTGTCAATAAAGATGAAGGTTCGTGAACTATCATATTTTAATTTATTTATTTATATACAATAACTAGCGAACCCGGCGAACTCCGCCTAGCCGCAAAAAGTCCTTTCTCGACGAACAAAAACAAGCTCACTATAATTCACGTCCAACTATATAGTGCAGAGGCGTGGATGATGCCGTCATTCGATGACTTGGCACTGGGAACCTTTGAGAGAAAAGTTTTGCGATTAGCACCGACGAATATCCCATACGCTGTGCGATGAGCTGTTTATAGTAAAGCGCATGAAGAGACGACGGCTATCTGTGGTAGTAGCAGAGGAAGGGGAATGTCTTCCCTCCGTTATAAGGCTTAGTTACAAAGAGATATGGTTTCATTTTGTATTTCCAAGTGGCGCCATACAGCGAAGAGAAAGAAACGAATGGCGTGCTATTTTTAACTCGGCTATAATCGGGTAAGCGATGCCTACGCGAATGAAGAAGGAGAAAAATACTTGCTGAATATTAATGCTGTGAAAAGAGAAAGGTTTAGGGCGGCTATAGCAATTGAAAGAGGAGAGCTTTAGCTGTAGAAAAACGCAGCTGAAGTGTTATCTGCATGAAGAAATAGCAGAGGATCCAATATCAGTGAATCTTATGCTGCGAATTTAAGAACTTAAACTGCAGTCGCTAAAGAATTTTAATTTTTTATTTTTTCATTTTTCATTTTTCGATACTAGTGCTAAATAATTTAATGTAAATAAAAAAATCTTCATTTGTAAAGTGCTTTTCTTCTGATTTTGTTGGTAATTTTTTATTTAAATTAAATTTCTACAACCTTCGGATGTTGGTCGAACCAGAACTCGAATAACACTGGCCTTTCAATTGGCAGTACGCACTAAGCTATCTCGGCCGCCAATATTATATATTACCTTTAATTATTGTATCAAGTTCTTTCATAAGCAATCTTCTTTAACATGTCTTCTATCTCAGGCTTTATATAATTTTCTTATATACATTTTTTTCTACTTCTAGACGAAGTCGACTTGGTTCCCGATGGTCAAGCGGGTGCTGGCATTTTCAATTGTCCTGATGACTATATCGCGATCAATCAAGTACGCCTCTGTGGTGAGCGTTTCAACGATGGCACCGATACAGATGACTTCACACAGAACGCAGCGATCAGAGATGTCGCAGCGGGACCAATTATACTGCCAGTTCGCAGCAATGAGGAATATGTGGGTCGCGGTTTCCTCCTCACCTACAAGCAGGAGCTATGCACTTGAGGCGAAAGAAAATTTATTATAGAATACTCATATTTGCATACCTTCCCTCTGTGCATTTCTTAGGTTCATTTTCTATCTCTGTCCATAATACAGAAGATACAATTTTCTACATTTGCATGTGGTAAAATAAAAAGTGTAAACACATGACAAATTTTGTGATGCCATAACTGCATGTACGAGTATACATTCATAGGTACATACGTGTACATATGTAGACATTTTCTATTTGCTTTGGTGGGCAGAAAGACTTACTTGTTCCAGTTACGCTTGATCATTTGAATTGCAAACTATGGTCATGGGAAAATGTGGCGCTTCTCCAGCCATCTAGTGTGGCCACAAATACTGTGCCAGGCGAACAACGTGTGCTTGTATGTACTCGTACATACGTGTATGCATATATTTCCGTAACTACGTCCTATTGTCCCTTTGAGGTGCTGGCGCATGCGCTTGCCATGATTTATGTTGGACACTAACATTGGTGGTTTTGTCAATAGCGACGACTTTCCCACCACATCACTATTGTATGCAGATTTGATTCGTTCGACAGTCAGCTGGTCGTCATCGTCGGCAACACCACCCGGCTGAGTGCAAAACGACGTTTAAACCTCGCCATTGACTGATTCACCGATCGTGTCATATGCAGTAGTTTTCTCTTCCGCTTTGCATGCAAAGTGTGGTCCCATAATTCTGTTTATGTACAAGTATGTACATATGTATGTATGTATGTTTGTGCTTTACCGACATCAAAAACATTTCTAACGGCCACAATCTTCATCATTTGCCTTTGATTTTCCATCGTCTTTGCCTCCGCCGCCATTGTCGACGTGTGTCAAAGCATTTCGAATTTGATTTCGGCACATTTTGACATATGTCAAGGAGCCACCTACGAAACAGCACGCCGGTGTTCACAGTTAGACTTGCTCTTTTTAGTGGGTTTTTAGAAAAGTTCGAAGTTCGTGATTTTATAGTCGGTTTTTTTTTGTTAAGCGAATTTTTTGAGGGCGTTCCCTGCTTTGATTGTTTGCTTTTCAGTTTTCAGTTTTAGGTTGTTGGTTTTTTGTTGTGGTGTGGTGTTGACAGGTTTTTGTTACAATTTAGTTCTGCATCCAAAGCTGAAATTTATAATTCAGCTTAACTGTGACAACATCAACATCAAGATTCAGATATCCATTTGCCAGATAAATGTGTAATTCCCTTTAGGCTTCTCCTATGCCATTTCCCAGTTTTCATCATTTGTCTTAGATTTTTGCTTTATTTTGTTTTTTCAATTTAAATGTTATTATCGTTATTAATAATAAACTTAGAAATTAACCCACGCCTTCTTTTCCTTTATCTAACGGCACTTTAACATATATTTGCATATTAGTCGCGACGATTTTAAGTTCACTTTTTCACTGTCTCACATTCAGTTATACCCGCCGTCGTTGGCTTTCTCGCTCTCGTATTTACCCCGCACACTTATTGCAATCAATTGCATGGACTCTGTACTGGCAACGAGAAGATTTTAATCACCAGCAGATAATTTAGAGTCGTAGTTAAGTAAACATTTTTTAGGAAAAAAATTACGGATCCCATGATCACGATGAATTTCTAGACTGCCAATTTTTCAAAAATGAAATTCTTAAAAAAAAATATTTATTATTAAAAAATAAAAAATTAAATAAATTAAATCAAATTAAAAAAATATAAATAAAACTTTAAAAAAAAAAAAATATAAGATAAAATAAAATAAAATGAAAAAGTAAAGTAAAATAATATAGAATGGAAAGAAATAAAATAAAATAAAAGAAAAAGAAGTAATATGAAATGAAATGAAATAAAATAAAAAATAAATAAAATGAAAAAAAAAAATAAAATAAAATAAAGTAAAATAAAATAGAACGAAATAAAATCAAATTAGGTTAAACAAAAAGTAAAATAAAATAACAAAGATTGAAAAGAAAAAAAAAATTAAATTATTTAAAATGAAAAAAAAAAATGTTAAAAGAAATTAAATGAAAAAATATATTTAAATAAAATAAAGCAAAATTAAATAGGATGAAATAAAATAAAACAAAACAAATTTAAAAAAACTGAAATAAAATGAAATTATATAAATTAAAATTAAATAAAAATAAATAATGTAAAATAAAATAGTTTAACATAAGGTAAAAAAAATAAAGAAGAAAAATAAAATAAAATAATATAAAGTAATCTAAATTAAATTAAATAAAATTACATTAAAACAAAATAACAAAAATTAAATAAAACGAAATAAAATGAAATGAAATAAAATAAGATATATTAAAAAACTTAAATTAAATAAAGTAAAATGAAATGGAATAAAAATATATATAAAAAAAAAAATAAAGTAAGAAAAAGTAATTGAAATGAAAAAAATAAAGTAAAATGAAATGAAATGAAATAAAAAAAATTAACATAAATCAAATAAAGTATTGCAAAATAAAAAAAGAAGTAAAAAACAAAATGAAATGAATTGAAATAAAATAAAAAAATGATAAAATCAAATAAAATGAAATGAAATAAGATAAATTAAAAAAAAAAAACTAAAATAAAGTAAAATGAGAAATGAAACAAAATAATATAAAAATATATAAAATAAGAGAAAAAAAGTAAGAAAAATTAAATGAAATATAATAAACAAATAAAAATAAAGTAAAATGAGAAATGAAACAAAATAATATAAAAATATATAAAATAAGAGAAAAAAAGTAAGAAAAATTAAATGAAATATAATAAACAAATAAAAATAAAGTAAAATGAGAAATAAATCAAAATGAAACAAAAAATTAAAATAAAAAAAATTAAAATAATTTAGATAAAATACAGGAAAATAAAATAAAATGCAAAAGAATGACATAAAATAAACTAAAATAAAAAATAAAATTAAATAGATCAAAATGAATTGAAATAAAATAAATTAACGTGATTTAAATGAAAATAAAATAAAACAATATAAAATGAAATAAAATTGTTAAAAAAATGAAATGAAATAAAATAAAACAAATTAAAAAAAACTAAAATAAAATGAAATAAAATTATTCAAATATGAATAAATGAAATAAAGTAAATTACAAGAAAATTAAACATGACAATAAAATTAAATAAATTAGAGTAAAATGAAATGAAATAAACAAAAATAAAATTGTTAAAAAAATGAAATGAAGTAAAATAAAATAAAATAAAATAAGTTAAAAAAAAATAATATAAATAAGTAAAGCAAAATAAAATAAAATTAATTAAAATAAAATAAAATAAAAAAAAATAAAATAAAATAAAATAAAATAAAATAACATAAAATAAAATAAAATAAAATAAAATAAAATAAAATAAAATAAAATAAAATAAAATAAAATAAAATAAAATAAAATAACATAAAATAAAATAAAATAAATCAAAATAAAATAAAATAAAATAAAGCAAAATAAAATAAAATAAAATAAAATAAAATAAAATAAAATTAAATAAAATAAAATAAAATAAAGCAAAATAAAATAAAATATTTGAAAAAAAAATAATATAAATAAATAAATAATTTTTGCATGCAACTGGATGTACTTATGTTGAAGAATTAATCTTTAAAAACATTAAAATTTCAATAAAAAAATATGTAAAACAGAAAACAGAAAACCGCTTTCGTTTATTTTACAAATTTGTAAGTGATGCAAGTGCATTTAAATGCCATAAGGCTTTAATTTATCAATAAATGGTTTTGCATTACAGAAATCTTATTTTCAATATTACATATCTCTGGAAAAAATAGTTTTCACATGCAAGTTTAAACTTTGTTGTAGCACAACCGCTTCTCAAGTATATAAAATGCTTTATATTTTTTATTTATTTATCTGTGTTCTAAGTTAGTTTAGCATAAAATGTTACTTGGAATTACATAGATATGTATGAATTCCGCTTATATTTTATTTTTGCACTATAGCATGCATGCAAACATATTTAAAGATGCGCCAAGTGACATTCACACACTGTTTGGCCTTACATTGCAAGCGGCTAAATTGAGCTTATCCGCGCTTCACTACGCTAATCCGGTTTACCTATACATTACAAAGCACTCAGTTAAAGTGTTGTTGTAATTTTTTTTTTTTTTTTTTTTTTGAATATTTGATAATATTATTTTTGCTGAATAGTTGATGACATTGGAGTGTTAGTGACCGTAAACAACTGTTGTGCGCGTGGAATGCACCACATCCTATGGGGTTTATAGTGTCCGGAGGGGAGAAAATAAGAACAAAATAGGTATCTACATATAATTAATAATTTTTGAATTGTACATTTACAAGGTTGCATTTGTTGTATATATTTGTTCCTTTCTTTTAACGATTATGCTAAGTTTTACGTAGGCTCAAATGAGCCTTGACTTTGAGACCGACCAATTTACAACTTCACAAACTTCACAGTGCACCGATCAATGAAAATCTTTTTCCGAAAAGAATATCTCCTATTATGCGCATGTTGTTCCTGTAGAGATGACAAATGCATAAACATTATTTAATTGAATCACATCATCTATAGAAAATCCATTCGAAAGTTACTTGAATACAGTTCCAACTAACTTTGGAATGGGGTTCTCTCAGTAATGGTAAATCTTGGAGGAAATCTATCAGGACAATTTTGTTATATTGTATAATTACATAATAATTACCGTAAAATCAAACGCCTTTACGGCTCTTTAAAGAATTTCATTATAGTTGTTTCCCTTACTTGCCTGTTTTGTCAACTCATATGATCGGGCTATAAGTATGTATTTACAAGTAAACAAATCGTCAAGCCAATGCCTTCTCTATGTCTCGTTGAAAATACTTTCATAATTGAATTATTTTCACTTGCAACGCTGTTCCATCGTATAACTAATTTTATTGTCTGAGAAAATCTGTGAAATGTGTAAGCAATAATCATAATTAAAAGTGAATAAGTCGCAAAAACAAAAAGAAAAAAAAAAAACTAGAAAATGAATATAAAATATAATAAAATATGTATAATGTTAC